TGCCTCTACCTTTGCGTTGACAAAAGAGCACCAGGGAAGAACATCAGAGGTGAAGCATGAAATCCATACAGCAGACGCGAGACCCATTAAACAGCCTCCAAGAAGTGTTCCCCTGGCAAAAAGAGACGAGGTCCAGAAGCTGATAAGTGAAATGGAAAAGAGTGGTGTAATAGAACCATCGTCAAGTCCATGGTGCTCCCCAGTGGTCTTGGTCAAGAAGAAAGACGGAAGCACGCGATTTTGTGTGGACTACCGAAAGTTGAATGATGTCACCAAGAAAGACAGCTATCCGCTCCCAAGAATCGACGACACATTGGACACATTAGCCGGGACGTCATGGTTCTCCACCCTCGACCTGCAGAGTGGGTACTGGCAAGTAGAGATCGCCGAGAAAGATAAAGAGAAAACAGCGTTTGGCGTTAATGGGGGTCATTCGGACTCTGCAACGCCTCGGCTACATTTGAAAGGCTGATGGAACGTGTGTTAAAAGGGCTGCAGTGGAAGTCATGCCTCATATACCTGGATGACATCATAGTCATGAAAGGCTCAAGAACTGGATGCGTGTGTTAAAAGGGCTGCAGTGGAAGTCATGCCTCATATACCTGGATGACATCATAGTCATGGGACGCAACTTCGACGAACACATCAAGAACTTAAGGGATGTTCTACAGCAGCTTTCGTCTTCAGGCCTCAAGTTAAACCCGAAGAAGTGCAGTCTCTTCCAAAGAGAGGTGAAGTTCCTGGGGCACCACGTGACACCGGAGGGCATATCGACGGATAAGGAGAAAATTCAAGCCGTCAGAGATTGGCCGCAGCCCCGAAATCTCCATGAGCTGCGAAGCTTTCTGGGTCTCTGCACCTACTACCGTCGATTTGTCCCAAATTTTGCCAACATCGCCGCCTGTCTACACCGCTTGACGCAAAAAGGCCAGAGGTTTCAGCTCAAAGACCTGCTATGCAGAGCCCCCATTTTGGCATACCCTATACCTGGTGGAAAGTTTGCTTTGGACACAGACGCAAGTGCGTGCGGCATCGGTGGCGTCCTTTCCCAGGAAATCGACGGACAGGAAAGAGTCATCGGGTACTACAGCCGGACATTGTCGAAGCCTGAGAGGAATTACTGTGTGACGAGGAGAGAGCTGCTTGCTGTCCTTGAGAGCGTTAAACACTACCACAAATACCTATATGGTCAGCATTTCCTGCTGAGGACCGACCACGCTGCTCTCCAATGGTTGCTGCAGTTTAAGAATCCGGAAGGTCAACTAGCCCGTTGGATCGAGAGGCTCCAGATTATGATTTCAGAATCGAGCACAGAAAAGGCGGAAAACACGGTAATGCTGATGCCCTGTCTCGTCGTCCAAGCAAGGTAGAATGCAGGCATTGCTCAAAGGTTGAGAATAAAGAGAGTCGGGTGAAGATTGGTCGACGGAACAACGAAGAGATCCCATTCTGGGCAAAATAATTTCGGCCATAGAAACGGGCAAGCGACCTAGTCGCAAAGAAATTACCTCCGAAAGCCCTCTTTTAAAATCCTATTGGGCCCAGTGGGACAGTCTACTTATAATAGATGGTTGCCTATATCGCAAATGGGAAAGTGAGGACGGTAGATCTCACCGGAACTTGATCGTCGTCCCAGACTCCAAAATAATGTCTTGTCGGAGTTTCACGATGGGCCAAGCGGAGGACATCTTGGCATAGCAAAAACCGCTGAAAATGTAAAGCAGAGATTCTACTGGGTCGGCTGTCAAAAATCCATTGCCGACTGTATCGCCAATTGTGAAAGGTGTATAAGAGCTAAAGGTCCAACACGGAAGAGTCGAGGCTACATGCAGCAGTATAATTCAGGAGCCCCTTTTGAAAGAATCGCAATGGATGTAGCTGGACCGTTCCCAATAAGCGACTCTGGGAACCGGTATGTCTTAGTGGTCATGGATTACTTCAGTAAATGGCCAGAGGTTTATGCTATCCCAAATCAAGAAGTCAGGACAATTGTGGATGTGTTCGGCAAAAATTGGATTTGTCGCTATGGTGTTCCATCTGAGGTTCATTCCGATCAAGGTAGGAATTTTGAATCAGCGATCTTCAAGGAAATGTGTGACTCCTACGGAATCAAGAAAACCAGAACGACGCCCCTACATCCACAATCAGATGGCATGGTGGAAAGATTCAATCGCACCCTGGAAGAACATCTACGGAAAGTGGTGGACAGTGGCCAACGAGGCTGGGATGAGCATATTCCAAAGTTTTTACTGGCCTATAGATCGGCCATTCATGATTCCACATCCCGGACCCCAGCCAAAGTTCTGTTCGGAAATGAATTAAAGCTACCTGGCGATTTGATATTCGGTGCTACCCCAAACGACGATGTGAACCAAGATGAAGGCAGTCAAAACTCTTTTAGTAAAGTCCATGATGCAGTTCGCCATCGAATAAAAATGGTTAGCAACCGCATGAAGGCAAGGTACGATCGAGCGGCAAATACCGATGGGTTTCAAGAAGGGCAACTGGTACTATTGTTCAACCCACAACGGAAAAAAGGACTATGCCCCAAATTGCAAACGCACTGGGAAGGACCCTACAAGATTGTCACGAAAATAAATGGCGTCGTTTATCGCATCCAGAGGAGCGACAGTCCCAGGTCGAAGATGAAAGTTGTACATTTGGAGCGGCTGACCCCCTATGGAACGGGAACTGTGCCTATTCGGGACGAACAGGCTTAAGCGGGGGGCAATGTTACGAATATAACTTTAGATTTAAGTTAATTTAGATGAATTCCGTTAATTTAAGAATTTGAATTGTAACGTAAATTTCTACTACGCAGTTTATTTGAATAACTTCACAACAACAACTACTGTATAGATTTTTCTACATCCTTCCATTTCCTCTTTCATGGTCTATTTTTTGTTGTTGACGTACAATTCTTGTTAAACGTCATCATTGATGATCGCTTAAATCCTCTTTCTTTGTTACCCCCTCGCCTGTATATGTGTTGTTGTTATTGTTTACTCACTGTAAGGTTGTATGTGTTTGTTGCATTTGTAGATTGTTCGTAATCTAGGTGTTACCAGATCGTCTAGAAACTTCTGTAGCGACAGGCGAGGCTCATATAAATAGGGGAAATGGAAAGGCAGTCAGTCAGTTGTGAATCAGATCGCGAATTGAAACCGTCAATTGAAACCGTGAATTGAAACCGTCAACGTAAAGCTGTAAAGTAACGTGCAAAGTAAAGTTGAGTGAATAAAATCATTGTAATAATCGTAATCAGAAAGAACCCGCGTTTTATTTAGTACGAACTGTGCTGGGAAATAAAACAACGTCTACACGGGATTAAGTAAAATCCAAGAACGTAACAGTATTAACGCGCATGGTAGATTTGGACCAACTGTGGAACTTGAAAACTACAACTTTGAGGTAATCGGAGATTTCATATACCTCGGTACCGCCATAAATAAAACAAATTTTCAAGATTCTGAGAAGGATTCGGAGTAAGCAATTTCGAAACAAGACCAGACCAAACTCGCCGATGCTACCCGTGCTGGTGTATGGATCAGAAGTATGAGTACTAGCGCAAGCAGACGAGGCAGAGTGTTTGAGAGGAAAATTCTCCGAAAGGTCTATGAGTATCGCCATCGAATGAAACCCGATCTTTAACAGAATGGGAAGTCCACGTATTCGATAGAAAGATCAAGTGGAGGATGACATATCCAAGCGTGGTCTTTCAAATTGTAAAAACTGCGCACAAGATCGACGCGCTTGGAAATCTTTTTTTTAAGTTCGCCTTATGGAACAAAGTAAGACATGACATTAATCGCCAAAGATAAGGGAGAATTAGCCTAAATTCTTACAAAATGTGCGTTACCTTTAAAATGAGGTGTTATGATGAAACATGGTCTTATATTTAAGATGTTTTTCACCATTCTGGGTATCTGAAATTACAACCACTTCAGTGGTAAAATGCGGCTAAACTGGGGATGGTTGGGACCTCGGCAATCCAATTTTTATACCCAACACAACTATGTTGTCAGTGTATTATAGCTTTGTGCAGCTCCAAAAGTTTGCAACGCCGCGAAATATTGGCCCTAGACCCACCTTTAAGTATACCGATCGTCATATCTCGACTAGCTGAGTCGATCTAGACATGTGTGTCCGTCCGTCCATTATAATTTGTCGGCCTCAGAGGCCGCAATTATGGCCCAAACACCGCGAATTTTTGTATGGAGAAGGGGATCGGGCCAAAGAATAAGCATGCCTTTTTTGATAAAGATCGGTCAATATTTAGCGGGTCAAATGGACCCTGACTTTTGTGTGAAAATGGCAAAGTTTGTATTCTATGGCGCATATATTTGCCCCTGAAGGACCTAGAACCGAGAAAATGATAGTATGTTCAAGAGGAGTGTTTGAGCTTTATATTGATTCCAATTATATGGTCGTATGTCTTCAGATGTGGGAGTTACACTTAAATATTTACAGGTGCTTACGTATTCAGACATTATTTAGTAACCCATTACCACACTAGAGGGCGGAAGTATAGCGCTGAAATTTTCCATGAGGATCCAGGTATAACGCAAAGTTAGATTTTCGTGGAAGTTGTGTAGGGTATCATATGGTCGGCCCCGTCCGACTATACTGCTCCGCTCACTGGTTTATCAATGAATTTTTCTTAGATATATTGAGGCCATCATTTTTTTACAATTTGGGCCGCATTCTTCCAGGTACGTCAGTATAGATCTTTATGACCTTAAGAGCAAATATCTTTTGAGTGTTTACTTTAAAGAGATTTTTGAACTTTGAACTACCAGCGATTATGTATAGCGAATTTAATTGTTGCTTTGCATCATTATAACCTCAAATATATATTCACCCTGACCTTATGGGGTAAAAACACCAACGACATCAACAATCTATTTATTTTTCGATTCTAATCAATATTCAAAAACTGAACTTCAACTTGACAACAAAAAGTGTACATACATAAATGAAATATTCTCTTCGGTACTTACTTTGCCAAACGTTCCGTATCATTATCAGCCAAATTAAGAAGATATGCCACAAATTCCACATCGTTTTTAAATTGAAGTCTCGTTCGCATGTATTCCCATTTCTCAGCATTTTTTGTGCCGATGTAGATGTTTTTGCTGAAATTCTGGTGGCGATATTTTTTCCGTTCGGATGCTGACATGGGAAAATTGGAGCCGCCACCCATCGATGTAGGTGCACCACAAAGGCTGCCGCCTCCACCAGTTCCTCCGCCACCACCACCACCAAGACTACCAATGCCACCAGCCCCGCTATTCGATCCTCCGCCAATACCACTAAGACTGAGGCCAGCACCAATACTGCCACCACCCACACCGCCACCGCCTCCACCACCACTGCCATTAGTTCCACCGATGGCATTTAGGCCAACATGACTGGCATTACTTAAACTGGCACTGCTATTGCTGCGTATCAATTCGTTGCAATTGCTGTTGCTAGCATTCGAATGGCCATTGTTCTGGCTGTGATGATTGTTGGCGGCAGCAGCCAGTGCCGAATCAAGTAAACTGTTCACATTGCAATTGTTTTGGTAGTGCGAGGAGTTGTTGGATTCGTTTGTTAGGCCAGAGGCTAAACCACCACTGCCACCACCACCAACACCAAGGCTACCATCACGGGCATTGCCATCAATATTGGCGGTTGCTGCCGAAGAATCTGGTAAACCATTTGAATGTTGTTGGCCTGATGGTGACACAGATGATGGTGAAGATGCTGAGGCGGTCCCCACTACTCCTCCCCCGTCTCCACCTCCTGACGTTGTTTGTGTTGTTGGCGAGTGGTTTTGTGGAACATTGCTGGCACCTATGGCGGCCATTAACAAGGCCTCTGAGTTATGAGACTGTTGAGCATTGCTGCCATTGGTACCAAGTGGACCAAGTCCAGCATTGCCCCGAGTGTCGTTAGTACTGCTGCCGCTAGAACTGGTACTGCTGGCACTACTGTTGCTATTGTTGTCCTCATCATCGGGTGGATCAGTGGTGCGTTGTGTTCCATTGGTAAGAGCTTCGTGCAACTGTTGCTGCTGCTGTTGTTGTTGATTTGTTTGACGTTGCTGTTGCTGCTGCTGTGACGGCTGTTGTTCCGCTGATGAAATATTTTCATCCTCATCATCTTCATTAGCCTCCTCCTCTTCTTCCTCCTCTTCGCCCTCATCTTCGCTGCTTGAAGCACTGCTGTTGGAAGCACTACTGGACATATGACCGGAATTCTTTTTATTACTAATGGAGTTGTTGTTGTTGCTACTGCTGCTATTATTGGTGTTGGTGGTGGTGGACTTGACTTTGTTATGCTGATTGTTATTATGTCCTGAGCTCTTTCTGTTATTGCTGTTGTTATTGTTGCTGCTGCCGCTGTTCTTGTGAGCAATGCTATTTTTGTTGCTGCCAGTGTTGTTTGCCGCAGCCGCAGCTGCAGCAGAACGTCTCACAAACGGCCCACGTGTTTCCCCATCGGAATTATCAGAGCTTTCATTGAAGTCGAACGCACTAAAATCGGCGTTCGACTTGGACATTTCGTATCTCTTTTTCGAGAGTTTTATCACAATTCTTTCCGTAATGGTGGCGGTTTTTTATTTTACGATTCGTATACGAGGAAAAATATGTTAACTATAATCGTATAGTCGATTTCATTCTATATGGAAGGTGGAATATGGAACCATATTAAGGTTTTTGGAGAATTTATATATTTTTTGTAGGATTTTGTTTGTGTTTTGTAGTTTAGTTGGATTCGATTTAAGTGCTATTAAAGATTTATAAATATTTCATTATGTACAACATACAAAATAATAGCTCGGACGAACAACAATGGCGCATTAAAAATTTATAAAATCGGTCGGGGCTCTTATACATTTGTTAATACCCACAGCCCAAAGGTGTAGCATATGGGTCACTCTATGTGGTACTTCCACGTTTGTATACCTGTGTTAATACTTGTATGAAAGGAGGTTTTCTAAGGAAATTGTCGAGCTGAAAGGAGTTAATGTTGAAAAGTATGTTTGGCCATTAATCATTCCAAAATTCAATAAAGGATTCATGACTAAAGATCAACATATTTCAGTAATGTTTCTTCTTCTAATTTTGAATGGTCTGTAACTCGAAATATTGGACTTAGACCCATATTTTGCCGTCCATTATAAATTTCAATGAGTGTACTTATCGAAATTATGGACAGTTCATCGTTTTTTGAACTAAGATGGAATAATCTTCCATGGGAAGATAAAAAAATCAACAGCAAGTAGCCGAGTGGCGATGCTTTGTGGAAGTCCTATGCTCCAAGAGGAGTAACAAGATAGAAATTTATTAAGGGAACTTTAATTTAACAATTAGTTTTGTTCCGGCAAGGAAAGGACGGTGTATTCAAGAGGTATTCCTGAAATTCTTAAATCTAAAATAATATAAACCGGTTCACCAAAGACCAAAAATTTGACCGATTGCCACAAAATGTTGCAAAATGTACAGAGTTTAGTATACCTTAACGTGTGTCATGTTTTTATGAAATCGTCCGATTGGTTTTATGTATATGGTGCACTAAAGCGTTATGGTTTGGCCGATTGCACACTATTTGGTACAATGTACTGAATTAAGTATAGCCCTTAGCATAGACCCACTTTTTGTTATTTATTAAATTTTTCCACTGTGCGCTGTGCTGCAGCATGCCGAATTGTAATTGTCAGGTTTGCTTTAAATCAATTTACATAATTTTGTTACATTCTAAACAAACGACTCACATCTTTTTGAATGAAATAATATCTAGCATAGGTTGCAGATTGGCATTTGTATAGATTGATTTAAGTCGGCTCACATGAAGATAAAGATCACATATTACAATATGTCCAATTTCATGTCAAGGGTCCTTCAAAAATGTGACGTCTGTTAGGATGCATATTGTGAATTCGGGACATTTATATGGGGTTTATGTTATGGTGTTATGTGATAGTAGGTTGTTCATGTTCCGAAAAAATAGTGTTCCAAATTACAAACATTATAGTTGGAGAACTTAAACGGAACTTTTTAATTTATTTTTTGTTCACCAGGAATCCGTTATTTTGAATTATACCAATTTCCATGAGAAATTCGATCAAATATTTATTAATACCGAAAAAGAGACTGAAATTTAGATGAGGTTATATCATAAGTTGGACCTATATATATATATACTTAAAAAACCTTCCAGAACCTAATCACAGCCCGTTCTGGAAGGCTGGCTTATATACAATTTTTTTAGGTCATACCAAAAGTCTAAGCTATGATATGACTCCACCTAATTTGATATGAATTTGAGTAATGCATACGTTTATTCCAAATCGATAAATGAAAATACCTATTTTATCAAAAACCTAATGATTTTGGGTGGGTTTCCGACGTTTTTGACGTATGTATTATACGTCGGAAATGTATGTCATTTACGTCACTGTTTCTGACAGGCCATCTCTGGGCTAAAGTGCCTAAACGGTTAATATCGAATAATGGGCGTACAATTATATGGGAGCTACCTTAAACTTGGGCCAATATTGATTATTTTTTATAATGCGATTTTCTACTCAGTGATCCAAATGTTGATCCAAATCGGTAAAAAGACGTGCCCAAAACCACCAAAATAACGAATAATGGAGGTTGCCATTATATGGTAGGGACAGTTTCTACTCATTGAGGATCCTAAATATTAAATTGTTCCCAAATTGGTTGAAACACGTACTCAAGTACAGATGTTTGGAGTGTAGCTTTATATGGGGGCTTCCAAAAAAGTGGACCAATATTAATTTTTAGTGGGAAGATTTACTACCATATCGCAACCCAAAATAACAAATTACAACCAATTAGGTAGAAGCATGCTTCTACCTATAATATACCGAATATTTGGGGGTACCGTAATATCGCACGAAGTCGCGAGTTCATATTAACGGCGACCTCAAATAAAAGGAGCTTTTGCAGGTGGATGAGATTTTGTGCAACTTCTTACTGGTGGCCTGAAGAGAAAGTGACAAAAATTAGATAGTTCGGACCAATTTGGTATACCTCCCGTATTAGGGGTCTTGAGAAATTCACTTTTTTTGACATATAAAATAGTTTCTATTCAACCAAATTCAATGAAATTGAGCAATTTACATTTCATAAGTCTATAAAGCAATCGTCTATAAAATGGGATAGATCGTACCATGATTAGATGTATCTCCCATATCGTATGTATCCCATATCCCGTAATATCGCACGAAATTGGGAGTTCATATTAACATCGGCCAAAAATAAAAGGAGCTTTTGTAGGTGGATGAAATTTTGAACAAGTTCTTACTGGTGGCCTGAAGAGAAAGTGACAAAAATTAGAGAGTTCGGACCAATTTGGTATACCTCCCGTATAAGGGGTCTTGAGAAATTCACTCTTTTTGACATATAAAACAGTTACTATTCAACCAAATTCAATGAAATGGAGCAATTTACATCTTCATAAGTCTATAAAGCAATCGTCTATAAAATGGGATAGATTGTACCAAGATTAGATGTACCTCCCATATAATGGGTCTAGAAAATTTCACTCTTTTGTCCTATACAATATATAACCATATTCAATGAAAGTTGTCTATTTATAGTTACTTATGTCTATAAAGCGACTAACACTGGATGGATCGGACCAAGATTTGGTATACCTCTCATATAGAAAAATTCGCTTTTCGGGCCTATAAATCATTAATATTCAGCAAAATTCGAAACAAATAGAAAAATTGACTCGGCTTTAACAAAAGTTCGGGTTGATCCTAATTATTTTGCGGCGCAATGTACTGCACTTTGCATATCCAATGTCATGAACAAAAATTTTTCTGTATGAACATTCCACAAAGGTAATCAGTGTGCGTCCTCTAAATTTAGATTATTATTTTCCTTATGATGTCGTAAATAATGCGATAACTATGTATAAACTTCAAACTGACGAAAATTTATTTAAAAGCAGTGTGGTAGAATGTCCGCTTCGGATAACGTTTTTACCAAGTAATAATTAATAACTCCCTTTTTACACGTTAATTAACACATTTTTCATCACTGAAATAAAAAAAAATAGAGCGCAACTTTTTGAAACTTTTTTTCTACTCCACTAAGTTCAAAATTTGTTTTAGAAATTAGGTAAAATAAGTAAAAACAAGTAAGAAAAGTAGTAAAGTCGGACGAGGCCGACTATATGATACCCTTCACCACTATGAATATATTTAAAAGATGCATCCTAACAGAAGGGCCATTAACATGAAATTGGGTGAACTAAAAGATGTGGCTTTTATCTAAATGTGATTTAAGTCTAACCAATCCATAAATATGCCGTTCATTGTTACAATGGGACAAAATTATGTAAATCGATTTAAAGCAAATATCAATCGTGCACCCGTTGAATACTTGGAACACGAAGTCGGTTCGAAATATATATGGGCTACATCTGTACTTCCACACGCAACTACGTCATTCTATTCTAAAAAAAACATGAAGAGTTTGGTGCAACATTTACATAAAATCGGATGAAAATAGATATGAAAGCTATATCCAAATATGAATTGGTTAGGTTACACTAATTTATGCACGTTTTGTTCCTAATAGATATATTTTGGGTCCTACTTAAAATCGGACGAAAACAATTGGGGGCTATATCCAAATCTGGACGGATTCCAACAAAACTTGACACACGTTTGTCTAAACTATCTTAAGTACGTTGTGCAAAATTTTGTGTAAATCTGAACCGATTTTCACGAAACTTCAAACACGTCATTCTAGACTTAATTCTGTACTTTGTACCAAATTTCAAATCGAATGATTTTCACGGACTTTGGTGCACCATTTACCTAAAATCGTGCGAAAATATATATGGGATTTATCTAAATCTGAATTTTTCCCAATATCAATTCGCTTTTTGGTAGGGTTCGTCCTTGGGCCGAATATGTGATCTATACCAAATTTCATCCAGTTCGGACCATAAATGCGACCTGTAGGTCTATTCTGTAACTTTTTAACAACATTCGACATTGTTTATTTTACAACAATTTCATTTGTTTGTTTTGTTGTTTTTACAATAAAAAAAAAGAAAATTAAACAATATTGAATGTTGTTAAAAGTTACAGAATAGGCCTACTGTACTTTGTTTACAATTTAGCATTGACAGACAGACGGACATGCATAAATCGACTCAGAAACTGATTGTATGCATATTCTCAAAAGGAACCATGGGTCTATCTCGATTCCTTTTGCCTGTTACAAACATATTCACAAAGACGTACCACAGTGAGGTGAAGGGTATAAAAAGTAAGGAAAGTTCAAAAGTTGATTTCATACTTAACAAAAAGTTTCTAGACTAAATTCAATGCCCGCTTCTAAATTTCTTGAATATAGAACAAAATCGGACGATTTTATTTTTATTTTTAGGATAAACATTGACAGTATGATAAAATTGGTCGAAACTACCAATCAGAGCTATATCTAAATTAGTACTCTGTGCAATTTGTCTCAATCGAACCGATATTTGGTGTTCGGTGCACCATATTGATAGAACGGGACGAACCTATATATGGGAGCTATATCCAAATCTGAACCGATTTT